AACCCCCCCCCCCCCCAATTTGATCCTTCTTTATTTGTCAATTACAGGCCTGTAACTAACATAAGGTCATCTAGGAAGTGGTCTGTTGGCAACTTGTTAAGTTGTTGAATGACAACAATCTTTTTGATCCTTTTAAATCCGCCTGTAAGAAAGCAAACAATACAGAATTCGCATTATTGAGTTCTCAATAATGGTCACTTTACATTGTCAGTGTACCTCAATTTGTCTGCTGCTTTTGACACTATTGATCACAGTATCCGCATCAATCGACTTTCTAAATTGGGTATTACTGGAACAGAGCTAGCATGGCTTTCATCCTACATAACATCTAGACAAATTTTAAGTTAAATCTGCTATCTCTAATCCTGTAGCAGTCGATTTTGGTGTTCCACAAGGCTCTAAATATATGCGTCCTTTTGGAAACATAATTTAAAATCACTCAAATCTATCAAATACTATATATATGCTGATGACACTCAACTCTACACATCTTTCAGCCCCGAGAAAGTAATTGATGCCATCCACAGCCTAGAGGCATGTAATGTGTTCAATTATGGCTGTCTATCAATATGCTTTGTTGTAATGTAAAAAAGACCGAGGCGTTATATATAAAGCCCAGACGTCGTACCAACATGCCCATTATTAATACTATTAGTGTGTGTGATACTTATATCATTCCATCTAAAGAAATAAGGAATATTTGCGTTGCTTGTGACTCCACGATGTTCATGAAGCGGCACATAAACAACATCTGTAGAACAGTATCCTTTCACCTTCGAAACATCCAAACAGGTTAGACGTTATTTAGGCTATGTTCTCACACGGCAGCTAACGGTTAGCAGGATCCGGATCCCGCTAACCGATAGCTGCCGTGCGTCCATGCATGAAAATCCCGATCCGGATACCAACAATATGATGATCGAATCACTGACCAATAAGAAACTGGAAATTGTAAACGCGTACGTGTGATTGGTTGATGATAGAAACGCCTTCAACTAACCGATAGCGCTTGCTAACCGTTAGCGTATCCGGATACCGCTAACGGTTAGCGCTAACCAATCGGGCGTTCTCACGCAGGTGCTAATGGTTAGCGCTAACGGTTAGCTCCCGATCCGGATACTAGGGCTCTCGTGAGAACCAGGCTATAATCGAAGATGCTACTTCTAAACTTTCCTTAGTAACATAGATTGGATTATTGTAATGTGGTTCCCTACGGACTGACTCTAGCATAGCTTCAGCCACTAATCAATATCACTGCTCGGTGGATTACTGTAACACTTAAATTTCAACATACACTCTGTTATCTTCATTGGTTACATGAAGCAGCAGAATGATTTCAAAATTGTATTTTTTGTTTAAAAAATATATTCGTCACTCATCTCCCAAATACATTTCGCTCCTCAATAGCACTCGCATCCTTTGATCAACATCTGATCTGACTACTCTTGAATGTCCACCAAAGGTTAAAGTGATGTGGGCACTTGTTTTGTTTTCTTTGATTTCCCCTTTTCCATTCCTTACCAGCTAAATTTGTCTAGTTCTATCAGGATAGGAGGCGCCTGAGTCTTGGGATGGCCGAAACTCAACTGGTGCTGGACAGTGTACATTTTGACAGGTTCCTGGTCATCGACGAGAGCGTATCCCTATACTGTGGTTTGGATGCAGGCTTGGAGTTCTCCCTTCCTTATAATAGGGAGCTTTCGATTTGTTCGACGACGCGAACAAATCGAACGGAACGGTAGAACGGAATCACTCATGCGCAGTGGCGGCTCTAGGATATATTTTCTGGGGGGGGGGGCTAAGTTGTCCGACAGGGGGGACTTGAGCTCGTAGGCTCGAGCTGGGAGTAGGGGTTGAGAGGGGGTCCCCCTCCCAAATGAGATTTTTTTAAAAGAATATCAACCTCTAGATGGCCGAAAATGGCACTCTCAGACTGTGACAGACATGTGTTGGCTTGGTGAGGGTCTATTTTTACGGTATGTCTTATGGTCTGACTCCCTGACGAGCTATGTCCAGCGGGGGGGGGGACTTGACCTGTCCGGTGGGAGGGGGCTTAAGCCCCCCGCCCCCCCCCCT